CCCCCCCCCCCCCCCCACTGCATTCATTTAAACCTTGTAAGCTGCTATTTTTTATCTTGATATCAAGCTATCTTGGAAGCATGAATCTTATTTCTGGTTTCTTGCATCACAGGAAAAAGAAGAAAAGTGAAACTGGATGAGAATTTCTTTACTGGTTACAGAAGAACAATTTTGCAAGCAAATGAAATATTGGTTGATATTTTTATTCCATTCACAGAAAAGGTGCAACTTGCATTTCTTTGTTAGTGCATTTGTTTCTAATAGTATGATTTTTACCCTAAATTTGTCTTTTCATTTTGTAAATAAATATTACTGTTTTCAGCACGAATATGTGTTTGCATTTAAACAAGCACGACGGCGTGAAGATGACATCGCTATAGTCAATACAGGCATGAGAGTGTTGTTTGATAAAGAAACACAATCCAGCTCATGGCAAATCCAGGATTGCAGTTTCAGCTTTGGAGGCTTGGCCCCCACAACAGTCATGGCAATGAAAACTGTTAAAGGGCTCACTGGCAGGTATTTTGAGACAATTTGGTGACTGCTTAGTTTGGCTGAGAGACCAAGACAGAATTTCTCCTTACACTATCCAAACAATTTCAAGCAGACAAGTGATGAGAATATAGAAAAATATAAGTTAGGGGATTATTAGTTGATCCAATACCAAATTCTCTGAAGTAACATCATAAGAATTGTGCCACAGGCAGTAAGGAGAATTGCTAATGAGATCTTGGAAGTGAAAGGGTTAAGGCTTGTTACTGTATACCTTTGCTTAAGAAACAAGTGAAGCTATCTTGCAGGCTAATTTCGGGCTAATTTTCAATTTCGCTCTGACGAAGGGCTAACGCTCGAAACGTCAGCTTTTTTACCCTTTACGGTGGCTAATTTACGTTTTCAACCCAGTTGTTAACACTAAATTACCTGCTATACTCTCCCACCGACGCAGCACCACAGTTTCTTTAGAAACTTACCCCTTTATTAATTTCAGGGTTGTTAAGGGTTTTTCCTGATCCTTTAAACTTGTGAATAGACACGGAATTCTCCATTTTAATAAACTATTTGGGTTAAGTTTTGATAACCAAGGAACACTGACGTATTCTCTAACTTGTGGGATCTTTCACTCATGTGCACTATTTGTTCTGTATGTGCGCTGCAGTTCATAGATTACGAGTATTCCCTCTTTTTCAGCGAATCCCGTCGTGCAAGTCAAAAAAAATATGAAAAACAAAAAAATTGATGGTAGCGGGCTGCATGGAACCCTGAGGGTGAGGTGCATGAAAAGAAAGGTTTACTAGCGAGGTTCGGTTTGCTGCACCTCACACTCAGAGTTCTGTGCGGCGCGTTAGTATCAATCTGTTTTTTTTTCACTGATTTTTCTTTTAAACCTGCGCCATGGACTTCGCCAAAAAGGAATGACAGTTCTTAGTGTGCTCTCTTTATCACCTATACTCTGATATGAACTTAACTTTTCTTTGAGTAGTATGATGTGAGCGAGGGAGGGTAGCCTTAAGACCGATTATGGTAATCAAGTTTGTACTCTCTCTTGTAGAACTTGGAATGAGAGCATAGTACAGGAAGCTTGTCAGCTGTTGGCTGAAGATCTGCCGCTTGCACCCGGAGCACCTGGCGGTCAGGTGGAGTACAGGAGATCGCTCGCCTCAAGCTTCTTCTTCAAGTTCTACTTAAACGTTACCTTGCAGCTGAGTAATCAAGAGGTATACTTTGTGCACCTTTACGAATGTTTTTCGGAAATAAAATTTTACTTTATTTAGTGTTGCTATATTTATTTGATTAAGCACCCAGACTCAAATGAATAAAATAGTGTTTGTTCGTTTTATAGGTAGCATATAAGGCTGATATACCCAAGTCGTTTATAAGCGGAACTGGTCATTTTCAAAGAGATACAACATACAGTACCCAGACATTTCAGGTAAGTGTTTATCTTTGAAGAAAACCATTTAATAGGGTGGGGGTGGGGGTGGGGTTACAAATATTATCTTGACGTCCACGCATCTGTAATTGTCATTACTTCAGGAAGTCCCCAGTGATCAGTTAATCGAAGATGTTGTTGGTAGGCCTGTGCCTCACTTAGCAGCTGCCAAACAAACCACAGGAGAGGCAGTCTATTGCGATGACATTCCTAAATATGCAGGTAATGTATTTAACCCTTTAACTCCCAAAAGTGATTGACATGCAACTTCTCCCAACAACATCCATGCATTATCCAGCAAACAGGTAATGAGAACACTCAAACTTATCAGGAAGAAGTTTTTATCTTGATCTAACACCAAACTCTCTTAACTTATTGAAAAGGAAGTGTGTAGCAGCTAGAGGGGGGAATTAACCATCAGATCTTGGGAGTTAAAGGATTACATAGGTTATAGAAAAATGTTGTTATTCAGCGTGGTTCGATAGATAGCTGAACGTTTAATCGTTTGTTTCACAATGAAAGAGTTTGGCTCTTCAATCGTGTATTGATTGCACGATTATATCGTTCAGCCTGACTCTTACATCGTGAGAAAAAAGGATCAATCGTTCATTTAAGGATTGCGTAGTTATTTTACTTTGATAAAGATGAATTTACTGAAGGTACCGTGCGAAAAAAAAACAACATTTCTAATCCAAAGAATTAATGTCTCAAACTTCAAGTTAAGGTTGATTTAAAGCTAAATTGCTGTATTTTTCCCTTTCAAGGAGAACTTTACTTGGGTGTCGTCTTCAGCAAGCGTGCACATGCGAAAATCCTGTAAGAAAATTGTTTGTTTTCTTTTAAATAAAGCTTTGATACTGTCTGGAAAAAAAGGACTTGAGCTAAGCGGCCCATCTAGTAAAGTGCTTCTCCAGGTTCCTTTAGCGTGCAGCGACTAGGAGTATCACTAATTCCCCCCCTGGATGCGATGCAAGTCCACTATAACGTTACCCTCCTAGCATTTCATCAGGCATCCTTGGCTTCGAGTCGAAACTACGGCAGTTTCAGGAGAGAGAACTTTACTAACAAGCAAGACCAGTTTCTCTCTTACAAGAGAAAAAGAATCGCACTTTATTCGCGTCACGCGCTCGTTTTAAACCAAACAATTAGGTCGTGCCAAACTCTCCACCCAAAACTTTAAAAAAAAAAAAAAGCTCTTTAGCAAGAAGTTTCCAAAGAAACTGTGGTGCTGCCTGCTTTCTATTACGGGGCGGAGACGCGTGGACCTTATGGTCAGTGCGATGGGATCTGGGTCGAGAGGTCTGGGTTCCAGACCTGGCCATGTTATTGGATTGTGTTCAAGGGTAAAATACTCTACTCTCACAGTATGTCTCTCAACTGTAAGGAAAAGGAACATGTTTATTGCTTCCCAGAGCTTTATTTAAAATAACAAAGGGGGCACTCTGATACATAAGATATTAACTTTGTAGTTTTTGGATATTTTCAGGGGTGTTGATCCAAGTGAAGCACTTCGTCAACCAGGGGTTAAAAGATATGTTGGTGTGGATGATGTACCAGGTCGCAACGCGACAGGGCCTGTAATCTTTGACGAGGAGATCTTCGCCTCAGAAAAGGTACCTTTTTTTCTTTATCTTTTTGATGTGTGATGTGATTTGTATTTTGCAACAACTCGAAAATTATACGTGAACTACAAACACGCGAGTTGCAAGTGAGTTTCAAAGCTGGAAATGCATCATCGAAGTTCCGTGTCGCGCGGCTGTCAGTTATGTCGTACACCTCACGGTAAAAATGTGGAGTGTTCGAGGATTTAACCCTTTACACCTTAACATCAGTATGCATATTCTCCAAACTTTCCTCTTCGCATTTATCATATTATTAACAAGGAGAATTTGTCAAACAATCAGAGCTTCTCAAGTTGGCGATCATTTCCTTTACTCTCATGACTTGAATGTTTGATTCAGGGATGATACTGTAAGGAGAAACTAGATGTTAGTCACACTGTGGGATTGGAGGGTTATAAGGTCATTTTTTGAGTTGTTGTTGAAGGATTTCGATCCATTTTGTTTTGTTTCACAATCGTGAGCCAGTTTGATTTCTAAACCTCTAGATTTTGCGTGTCATTGACAGGCGCCTTGGAAGGTTACTTTAATCTTGAAGCCATTGTGTTTTATTTGAAAAGAGTATTAGCTCGCAGGTGAATAGAAAAATGCCGTTGACGTTAAACTGGTAGATTAAGTGGAATGCAGCGTGACAATTCCCGTCTTATTTTCTTCTCCAAATCATGGTATTTGATACAAAGCTCAATCGTAGAGCTGTGGAATCCTGCTTTTGTTTCATTTGACCCTTAATTAAGGCAGAAACAACACAAGATTTCTAACTTAAAAAGTTTGCACTTGACTGCACTAACCCCTTCCCTCTGCATAAATTTATCCTTTTTTTCTACTATAGGTGACATGCGTGGGTCAGGTAATAGGTGGCATTGTCGCTGAAACTCAGGCCCAGGCCCAAAAAGCAGCCCAGCTGGTGAAGGTCACCTATGAGGACCTTCCCAGAATAATAACCATTGAGGTAAAATGTTCACTTTTACATGGTTTTTACATTTCTGATGCAAATGGAGGCTTTTTTTTTTTTTGCGAACGCGAGGAATATGCTAAAGGCGAGTCACGTTTGAGAGGAGGGGATATTTCGCGCCGCTCCCCTCGTTCGTGTCTCCCTGTTTGCGCTCGCCCCATGCCTTCCTCGAGCTTGTCTGGCGTTCACCGCGCCTCCGTTGGCCTGGAAACGCAAAAGAAAATGCCGCCTTTCCTGCAGGCTGATTTAAGAGTTTCCATTGCCTCCAGACTCACAGTTTACTTTTAGTGAAGAGCTACAAACTTAAGCATCTGTTCTATTTGTGGACAGGAAGCTATAGCTGCGGAGTCATATTTGAACCCTGAACCGATGTGCATTCAGAAAGGAGACCTAGAAGCAGGATTTGCTGAATCAGATCATGTGTTAGAAGGGGAGATGAGAGTGGGAGGACAGGTTAGAATCAAATGATTGTAAAAGATAAAATTTTAAAGACGTTTGTGTACAAGAAGTGGGCAGAATGTTGAAACTGCAGTCTCTCAAGGTGAGTCATCTTTGTATAGCCAACTTTCTTTCTCTTTCAAGGATTAGAACTAATTCTCTGGCCGAAATTTCGGCGACTCTGTGCGGACAAAACCGATGAAACACTATCCAGTTGAAAAGGTTATCAACATTCGTAAAAAAAGTATTTCCCCTTTGCACAAAAACTAATTACTTTCTCTTTGTTTCAGGAACACTTCTATCTGGAAACACAAGCAACAATCGCTGTTCCAAGGGGAGAAGATGGCGAGATGGAACTTTTTGTTTCTACACAAAATCCAACATTGACACAGGTAGGAGAGCATTTTTTGTTGCTGTTGTTTCCTGACTACGCGCTTTTAGTTGTCGGTAGATGTGTTTGAACGTAAGGTTGTAAACGCGGTTGGTGTTTGGACGTGAGGTTATAAACGCGATTGGTGTCTGAATGAGAGTTTTTAAACGTGGTTGTCACGTTTTAGATTCACTTGCATTTTTTAAGAAAGTTATTTCAGTAAAAGAAGGTGAAAGAATTCTCGAAAGTTATACAAACCCTCAACTGCTTATCTGGTTTGCTAAATTGTATCAAATTCTCCAACCTCCTTCTACCTGATTACTTACGTCATAAATTGCAAGTTCTCGATCACTTCACTTTAGTCTTGAATTACTTCAATCTTCTCTGCTGACAGTGGTGGGTCAATATTCTACACAGCGGACATAAATGTGTTCTTTAGGGTCGGATAAGAGTGGTAATCTCCATCCACTATTGTCGAAGTTCAATTGCAAGTTATCATTCTTTTTTTTGAAAATCCACAGAAACTTGTTGCCAGCGCATTGGGCGTACCTGCCAACAGAATAGTCGTGCGGACCAAGAGAATGGGTAAGGGAGACGTAAAAATTGCTTCAATGCCATTGGCTACTTTAAGACGTCACACTCCTTAAATGGAAAATTGATAGGACTTAGACTACGAGCAATCCTTGCTTTACGATGAAGTCTGTCTCGCGAGTAGAAAAAGAATTGGTGAAAAAAAATTTGATGCTAATGCACCTCGTGGAACTCTGGGAGTTAGGTGCCCCACTCTCAAAATGCTGTGCGGCGCGCTAACATCAATTTTGGTTTTTTTTTTTCGTTTATTTTTTGGATCAATATTAGTATCTGGGCAACTGCCCACCTACCCCTACCCCTACCCCTACCCCTACCCTAACCCAATTGTTGGGTTAGGGGATGGGGTAGGTGGGGCAGTTGCCTAGATACTGATATTGATCCGATTTTTTTTACTCGCGCTACGGACTTCGCAGAAAAGGAGGGACTGCTCGTAGTCGAATAGGACTTAATTATTTTTTTGCTCTGATAAATCAGGTGGTGGATTTGGTGGTAAAGAGACACGTAACTGCTTTCTGAGCAATGTTGTGGCTGTGGCGGCAGCTAAGTAAGTTATTTTACCTTCTTTTAAGTTTTTTTCTATTTCATTATTCATTTATTAGTTATGTATATTTTGTCTTTGAGTTGTAAGTGGCAAAGTCTTCAAATCTTGAAAGGGAAGTAGAAAATATTTCCCTGTTTGTAGCATGTGCGGTTTGGTACAGCCTGTAATTATCTTAAGACGGAGACACCAAAAATTTCTAACTCATTACAACGAATATACGAGTATTCCTGTGTCATTTGTGTTTCAGGGTTGGTAAACCTGTGCGCTGCATGCTTGACCGAGATGAAGACATGAAGAGTACTGGCACTAGGCACCCGTTCTTAGCCAAATACAAGGTACAATACATATTCTACGATGACGCATACTAATCCATACTGATCCAATCAGTATTAATCAGTATGCAGGCTGATTTGCCAAAAATCCTAACTGGGATTATTGAGGTGATCTGCGTTGTCCACGGTCTTTTGTTATATTTAACTCGTGTTTATCTTATTCATCTTCTCAGGAGGTTGTCCGTTTTCCGTTTATTCTCGCCTCTGGTGGTTTTCTACTTCGAAAGAGTTTTTTTCCATGTGTTATTCCAATTATGACAACTTTTAACGATCCCATTCCCTTTCAAAGTGATGAAAAATGACACATATTTCCTCTTCACTCCTTATTTATCTTTAGGTCGGCTTCACAGCAAATGGGAAAATCAAAGCTCTTGATGTCAAAATGTACAGTAATGCTGGAAATTCTTTGGATCTGTCAAAATCTGTGAGTTGTTATCTAGAACCCTTATTAATCTCATTCGCTCAGCTTCCGTCCTTGAATTCTTCCCTTATAAGCGCATGATTGTTTTCCGCAGGTTATGGAGCGCGCGATTTTCCACATGGAAAATTGTTACCTTATTCCAAATATTCGGGGACATGGGTATTTGTGCAAGACGAACATTCCTTCCAACACTGCATTCAGAGGATTCGGCGGGCCGCAGGTTTGAAATACTTTTGTTCTATTAGTTGATTTTGTGCGATTGACAACAGAGTAACTGAGATGGTATTCTTTGCCAGTCAGGAGTTTTCTTTTCGCGTGAAGGCTACGAGTGAATTTGAATAAAAAGTTCTAGTTTGATTTTAAAAACTAGCTTGAAGGTCATGCATCTTGTTGAATCTCTCAGTTACTACGTGCGATATGACTGGTCAATTTAATGGGCCGAAATCAAACTATAACTTGATTTTTAAAGATACCAAACTTACAACCTAATCAATGTATGATTACCCTTTTTTTTTTAGGGTATGATGTTTGCTGAATCGTGGATAAGTGACATCGCAATTACTTGTGGTATTTCACAAAGACGGGTGAGTGAGCGAAAAACGTTAGGCGGTTAATTGGGACAAACTTCTGTCACCGCAACATGTATTTAATTTTCCTGCAGCCAAGAGGCTGGTGCCTGCACCTGGTTTCCGAAGGATTTAGAGATGAGGCAGGAGCTTAGCTGGGATTTCTTCCGGGGGGGTGGGGGGGACCGGCTTTAATCAAACGCATCACACCCAGGGTATCTACTTGACTGTCATGTCGACATCCACGCTGTGTTGTCCTATTAAACAGTGAAATTTTAGCGGATGAGCTCTAAATATCTCGTTAATTACGGAGATTCGCATTCTTCTATCAATTGAATTGTTAGGCTAGTAAGTTGTTGACTTAAAAAAAAATAATAATCACAGTTAAAAAAGGGACGAGGGCTAGCTAGTACTCCCGACCCCTCCTCCTTTGTCGCTCTACACCTCAAGGATGGATTGACAGCTCACAGGGAAACCTCGATTTGCAGACTATTAGACCTCGGGCTCACTAGTTGTGAATTAAGAAAGAAAGGAGGGGGGGTGGTCAAAATGAGCTGAATTTTTTTCATGTACTATCGTGTTCTCTGCTTCTACAAACCATCCCCAGTGCAATGTTTTGCAAAGTCTGAAATTTGCCCATGCTATTTGCTCCAGGTATCAAATTGTCAGTTTTTTTTTCTCGTTTCTCTTTTGATTTTTCTTTACGTCGACTGCGAACAGGTCAGAGAGTTGAACTTCTATCAGGAAGGTGATGTAACTCACTTCAACCAAGAACTGGCCAGTTGTCATATCCAACGCGTGTGGGACGAGTTAGTTGAGAGGTGTCTCTACGAAGAGCGAAGAGAGCACATCGAGGCCTTCAACAGGTTGGGTGCATCCTTATTTCCTTTTATTCGTCCCTACAACTCCTAGAGGTGTTCAACGTGTAAATTCTCTTCACAAAAACAATACATTACTTAGCAAACAAGTGATGAGAATAGACTAAGATATCCGCCAGCGGGAATTGTCTTGGTATACTACCAAATTCTCATAACTAACTAACAAGGAAATGTTAACAGCTTTAAGGGAGAGTTTTGAATCAGATCTTCAGGGTTCAAGGAATTATTCAGATTTAACGATAACGAAGGTAGTAGAACTGCAAGCATTTTTTAAGATCTGTTTTCTTGAAAAGGTGTGAGAGTTTTAAGTGGTGTAAACATGGGACGACACTCGAATCCTCGATAGAGGAGAGACTAAAACTTGAAGTTAAAATCAAATGGAAAGAATGACACAATGCATGCAAGCTGGTCGATGATAATATTCGTATTTGTTGCAATTTCGAGATTTCATATTGTAAAAAACGATAGTTCACTGTAGCCGTTTGCCATACCAGTAAACGTTACATTTTGGCTCTCATTTAATGTCACCCACACTGACTATATAACCTGGCTTTTTATGATTCCGAATTGTCATGCTTTCCTTAATGTCTTTCCTCCCAAGGGAAAACCGGTGGCGAAAACGAGGCCTTGCACTGACGCCTACCAAGTTTGGCATTAGTTTCACAGCTACTTTTATGAATCAGGTACGAAAACAAACCCCTTGCTTTTCATATTGCTGTAGTCGCGCTGGATAGAACTGAACCCCGCTTTCCACGGGCGCTGGCCTTTCGCCCTCCCCAGCTCTGTCTCGGTAGACCTGATTAATCGGAAACGCTTCTAGTTACACGAGCGTTAATACGAACTGCGCGAACCCAACTGATCAGTTTTTTGTCTTTTTTGGTCTTTTTTTTCAAGGCTGGAGCTCTGGTGCATGTTTACACAGACGGGTCAGTTCTTTTAACTCATGGCGGAACAGAAATGGGCCAAGGACTGCACACAAAAATGATACAGGTAGATGTCAAAAATGTTTCTGAGAGGTCACCTAATGGAGAAAGAAATGCATAAATAAGATTAAGGAAAGCTCAACTTTCTAATTAAGTTTCATTTTTGCAGATAGCCGCTCGTATCTTTGGTATCCCTGTGTGTAAAATCCACATTTCAGAGACAAGCACGAACACGGTTGCAAACACGTCTCCAACAGCAGCATCGGCCTCCTCTGATCTCAATGGCATGGCGGTGAAGGTAAAACACTTTTTTCAAGACGGGAAAGGCCCTGTAGCGAACGCACCGATATATTTTCAAATTCTAATTGCTTAACCAGTGGTTTCTGAAATACATGAAGAAATATTTTAAATAACAGTAATTTATAACGATATCAAACAAGGTTAATGCAAATCAAACGGAGGAATGACAGCAAGAATATACTTGACGGTTAGAATACTTTTACAAAACGACATAGAAACGTTCAAGGAAAAGTTGAGTGATAATTTATTGTGGCGAAAACTATTTCATTATGGTAGTGCCACACAGAAATGTGAGGCTAACAAACCGCTGAAAGACGTTACAACTGGCCCTATCTTTTGAATTCTGTAATATGATAACCTAGATAGCTCGTTACACTGATTGTTGGGGGGGAGTTGCTCCTGGATTTTTTCACTTGATAACTTGAGTGTCAATTTGGTGACCGCGTTGACTAGTGCGCCTCTACACGTGGTGACTAATTTACTGACGTATTATGTTTAGTTATTGATAAGATGTATGTTTTGGGATTCGGCAGATTGCTTGCGAGCAAGTTATGGAGAGGTTAAAGCCATATAAAATGGAAAATCCAAAAGGAGAGTGGGAAGAATGGGTAAGTATTTTACTTGTTAACTTGTTCAATCTATCGGTAATGCGGTAATTAAGCTAGTGTATTAGTTAGCTTGTTAGCCAGGTTGGTCAGTCGGTAAATCATTCAGTCCATCCGTGCGTCAGACAGGATAATTTGATTTATTCGACTGAGCTGATAATGTAAATTGGCCACCGTAAGGAGTTTTTTCAAGTTACCTTCTGAGCGTCAATCAGTTGGTCACCCTCCTTGTCTGTTTGTCTGTCTATCAATCAGCAGTCAATTTGTCAGTCAGTCCGCTTGTGGTCTGCTAGTCAGTTTTGCATGTCTTTACGGTTTGTCTGTTAATCAGTCATTATCTGTATGTTTTTCGTTAATTTAGTAATCAGTGAATTAGTTACGTAATTAGTCAGTCTGTCTGAATGACAATCCGGTCATCAGTTAGGCAGTCAGTCAATTGTGTCTGAAACTGGACTCCAGCGTCTAAAATCGTACATTAGTGTCAAAAATCGGACATTTACGTCTGAAATCGGACGCTAGTGTCTAAAATCGGACAATTATGTCGGACACTAGGGTCTAAAATCAGACCTTAGTGTCCAAAATGGGATTTTAGACACAGATATAGCTTCTTGCTTATTTCCAGGTTCGCTCCGCCTACTTTGACCGCGTCAATCTTTCAGCGAATGGATTTTACAAGTAAGAACCACTTTTCACAATTTGAAATCTAATGCAGTTTTCCATGACTACGCACTTTTAAGTACGTGTGTAAACTCTTTTACAAGAAACTGACAGATTTTGCTCTCTCTGAAATTCAAGTGGAAAGGCCATCAGCAAGATACCAGTGGATTCTAGGGGTAGTGAGTGATCCCCTGGCTTCCCCTCTCTTGTGAATCACAATTCTTCTTCCATAAATCTTTTGAAAATCGGAACTCAATTAAAAACTTGCATAGATTTTTTTTTTCTTTTTTTTCTTAAAACCTTTAACCCCTAAGAATAACTAGTATCTCACTTCTCTTAACCATATTAACGCATAATGAAGCACGTTTTTTAACTGTCTCTGCGCATGTGCCGCGCGCACACCGCAGGTTAATAGGATTGCGGTCTAAACTACTAGTCACCAGATTCCACAACCATATTGACGCATAATGAACCATAAAGGTCATGAGAATGAAGAAAGTGATCGCAAACCAAAGAAGCTCTTGATTGTTAAACAAATTCTCCTTGTCCCAATCTTAGAAAATGTCCAGACTACATTTTGGAGAAATTGTATTCTGATGTCAAGGTGTAAATGGTTCATCAGTGAAAATCCAAGTAGAATTGTCAGTTCTAATTTTCCGGAAGTGATTTCTTGTTATTTTTGCCCCTCAGAACACCGGACTTGGGGTATGATTGGAAGACCAATACTGGCAGAGTCTTCAATTATTTCTGCTTTGGTGCGGCTTGCTCGGAGGTGGAAATTGACTGCCTCACAGGAGATCATCAGGTTTGTCAATAGACACACATCTCTAAGGTTTTCTCTTTCATTTACTTTTAAACTGTGACACGACCCATAGAAAGAAAAAAGAATCCAGGGAAACGTATAGCAACGATTTCGTGACCAAGCTCTCAAAACAAAGTGGTGGCTTCTTTCGTCACGACTGTTTGACACTCGGGTTAAAACGAATTGCCGAAACGTAACTGACCAGAAAAACCTACATGTGATGTGTAGAAAAACTGCTCACCAATAGAAAAGAGGCAGAAAAGACATATGCCGTTTGTCAAAGAGGTTACTAACTCTCACAAACCTTGAGAACAAATATTTCGTTCCTCGAGGTGCGGCAGAGCACATATCACTCAGATTCGAACTTGGCCGAACGGAAATAAATTCCAAACTCATTTTGGGTCAAGAGTTGTAATTTTCGGAACAGCTAACACTTTCTATGTAGAACTAGTGTCTACATTGCGTGAAATTAATCATTGTATAGCGCAGGAATTTATAAACTCCATAACTTTTATTGTTTCCCTGTTCATCAGGTTCTTCGCACAGATATTGTGATGGATGTCGGTATCAGTCTCAACCCGGCCATTGACATTGGCCAGGTTAGTAAATTGTTTTATTTTCCGATGTAATCATTGGCTATGGACTAATTTCTACTCTTGTTACGAGCAAGATTCTGCAGAAACTTTTGCCGTGTGTTTCCCTCTTAAATTAAGTTTGTGTTAATCTGCGCTTTTTCAGGTGGAGGGAGGTTTTGTTCAAGGAATGGGTATGTTCACCCTGGAAGAAGTGCGTTACTCTCAGACCGGCTCATTATGGACGCAAGGGCCTGGTGCCTACAAAATTCCTGGATTTTCAGACATACCAGTGGAGTTTTATGTTCACCTCCTACGGAGTGCCCCGAACGAAAAGGCGGTCTTTTCTTCCAAGGTTTGAAGAGTTTCTGTTCCTCGAAGGGATTAGATTGCCAGAAAAGTCTGTTATGCTTTGGTATTATGAACCTACCTCAAATTGAGAGTGATCTTTGGTTAAAATAAAAGTCAAGTTTTAATTTGACGTTTAAAAGTTTTTTTCCTTCTCATGACATTTTGATGTTTTGTTTATATAGGCTGTAGGAGAGCCACCTTTGTTCCTTGCCTCTTCTGTGTTTTACGCCATCAAAGATGCCATCATGTTTGCCAGGTAAAAAATGTCCTTACCTCTTATAGTTATCAACTGGACATTGCGTGGCTTATAGAAGTCTTGGGGCAATTGCTTTTTGATCGAACGCGGTCACAGGATCGAATTTTTTATCATTGTTAGCTCAACAACGAATTGACGGACGCACCGATTGACTGTGTCTACTTGTCAGTCTGGGAACGTCAGAGCTCTGACGAAGGGCTAGCACTCGAAATTTCAGCTTTGGAACTCTTAAAGTGGCTAAATTAAGTTATCAACCTAGTTGATGATACTAAATTACCCTGTCACACTCTCCGACTGACGCAGCACCACAGCTTCTTCAGAAACACCCCCTTTATTCATGACTGTTGGTCAGTCTGTCTGTCTGACTGACTGACTGACTGACTGACTGACTGACTGACTGACTGACTCAAGGTCTGACTATCTGACCAAATGACTCCTTCATCGACTTTCCAACAGGCAAAACGACTTCACAACTCATTTGTTTTTCTAAACACTTCCTACTTTATTGAAAATATATTCTTAATTTTACAGGCGTGAATCAGGTGTTGAAGGAATCTTCAGACTGGACAGTCCTGCTACCAGTGAGCGCATCAGAATGGCTTGCGTTGACCAGTTTACTCAACAGGTGAGAATTACCCCCATGCTATCGCCCCAACTCATGTCAATGGCGAACAAATGTTTCCCGAGAATCTGATCAGTGTGTCGGTGATGGCGATACTTCGGGTCAAGAGGACGCGCAGAATACTCAGAACTACTTTGTGAAAGTTTACTTTCGCATGAACGAAGCATGCGTTTAAGATGTATGATGTTGACGTATTGTTTAGTACACGCATGCTTGAAATCACATCGAGAGTACGTTTCCAGTGAGACGTATCTATGAACAAGGTATCAGAAGCTCGTGAAACACTTATGTTGTCAATAAATTCTACTCCATTACGTTTGTTTTTTTTTTTCCTCCATAGTTTACACCCCTTGCGGATCCAACCGTGAAAGACTTCAATGTTTATCCATGAGGACTTGAAGAGTGCTAATTAATAACATGTGGTTTACATAATTTCATTCATCATTTAATCAATTGCTTACCAATATTTAAGTAATTACAAATTAGATGTGGATATTTTAATATGCAATTTTTTCCCTATCACCCGATCCTGAAAAAAAAAAGATGGTCTTAATTATATTTTCACTACAAAACTGAGACCAAATATCCCTGGTTATCTTACATTTTCCTTTCCCCTGATTTACTTACGGCTCACTTCAAGTGAGGCTCGATCCACTGGAAGATTTTTATCCCATTCCCCCGTGCGGAAGTCATATAACAATCCACTTAACGCCCTTGCTAGTTTTACACTCCTTTTCCAGGTTTACGTAGTCCTGTATCCGGACCTTCCTCGGCCAAGTGATTTACATTTTATCAAGTTTCTCGCTAGTGATTAGTTAGATGCAAAGCTAACTAACTGTGATTGGACCAAAATCAAACTCGGTATTAATATTTAAGTCCTGAAAATGAATATGAACTGAGGCGTACTTTAGGCTTACAACAAAAGCAACATTAATTATTTTATTCCATAGTAATTCAGTTATTTTTTGAAGAAAACATGGAGACTATGAATAACAGTATATTTGTGCATCAAGGTCTGTCTACATTTTTATACATTTATATATATGAGTAAAGATATCTGTATTACATTGGCTTGGACAACAAAGATATATTTTGACCGGGTGAATTTAGTTGAATTCAATGAGTAGTTTTGTAACCTAGATCAAAATTTAAATTTACTGGTATCCATCCTCACTAATTCGTTTAGTAATGGCAAGAAAATATATTTTACTTCAGTTTTGCCGACCATTCATCGGTCCCCAGTGGCGTTCTCGGCGGCTAAAAAGCTGATTTGATTACATCATATTCTCTACTAAGAATGTTATTATATCCCATACGTGTAATTTGTAACAGATTAATGGGCGATTTTATGTAAGAATGATTTCTACCTTACCGAACCCAAACAAATGTATAAGTGGTAGCAATTAATGATATTTACATCAAATCAGTTGTAATTTCATACTATTTTTCATGTATACCATATTTTCAAATATTAAAAAAAATTGTGGTTGGGGTATATCGTTGAGCCATTTTCACAACGGTAAAGTTGCGCAACCAACTAGAATGTTGGCATGGATCAACGGCAGTATCATCTGCGCATCTACCCCTCCCCTGACCCTAGCTTTAGATCAGGTGACTTTTGTTGAGTTAAGGGAGGGGTAGCTGCGCATTTGGTAAGAAACTGACTTGAATCCGTTTGTACAATGAAGAAAAAGGAATCGCACTTGAAGAACAATGTTGTCGAATGGGCGGGTCCTAATCAAACTGCCTTTTTTTTTCCTTCTTTCTTTCCAGTTTTCTTTTTTATTTATTTATTTTTTTGGCTGCGACCTTTTCGCTTTCTTCTATGTTTGATGATTTTTGCAGTCGCATCACTGGCGTGCACATTTCAACCCAGCTGTTACATTGTGGGACCTGAAAATCTCGTTGAAAATCATGACTACGTGGATTTTTGCGGAGAGTTTTAACTTGCACTTTGCTTTACTATTGTGGGTATATAATGGTAAAATCAGGATAAATCAAAATTCCTTTACAAGGCAAACTAGGAAGAAGAAGATCCTGTCTGCATCATTTGCCTCACAAAATTTGCTAGGTTCTGAATATTCAAAGGTCACTAATTAGTTACCTTTTGAAATAGTTTGCGCATGCAAGCGTTGCGGACCTACTTGTCTCGTATTCGTCTCAGATCGAGTAGGACTGGCGAGAGAAATGTTTGACTACGCGCGAATTGAAGATCTCGCTTGTAATTTGTGTATGTAAGGAATTATCACAGATATTTTGGGCCTTTGAGAGAATGAAAAGAGACAACATCTGCTCTGATTTCAGTTGCTCATAGGTAAGTTTGGTTATGGCTTTCTTACCTCCACAGGAATCGAAAAAGTCATTCCATTGTAGCGAATTATCGGGTTATTCTATGCAGAAGAGCCTTCGCTTTCTCTCTGATCTAAAATTTCGCTCTTCAGATTTAAAAATTTTAAATTTGTTGCTTTAAAAATAGTTCTCAGAAATAAACGTAAATGCTAGTTTTCGTTAGGCTGATGAGTATCCTTTTCTGTCAGGTCTTAGCCGTAGCCCGCCGATTGAGATCTTCAAATGCATATAAACTTTATTTACAAATTGTACATACCAAACGCGTCTTGTCAACACTGGAAATTACTGATTTGTCAGTGGGCGTTCACACTTTAAATTTGTGGCGAGTATAATTAAAATTGACTTTTTTTGATATCAAGCTTTGCCAACTGTATTAGAAAATACTTTTTGTGTGTGATGTTAGGACAATTCGTGAGTTGTAGCCTTGTTTAAATTTCCCGCTCTACTGCAGCCATCTTGAATTTCTGTCATGTACAGCGAGTGATTGTTTCATCGATCCTGTGTACACGCTATTGATGAAATTTCTGGTCGCCGTGTTGGTGGAGTTAATTTGTGTACTTTTCAAGCAGTAACCCACTATGTATGGCAATTCCTGACCCCCCTCCCCCCTTCACTCCTTTTGCTGAGGTATGCCAACAAAGCTAACTTGATGACTAGCTTGGGTGTTTGAAGGTGGATGGTGAATGGATGAGTAGTATTGAAAAGTTCCAGTAAATTTGTATGGGCTCCTCAACTACTTCAATTGAATTTTTTTTTTTCATGAGAAGGTCTGATAAATTTTATTGCATGCATTGGTTGATTTAAACAAAAATCTTTACTTTAAATTTTTTAGATGAACAAGTTTACGAGTTTGTCATGATGTTGAACAAAGCTATGATTCAGAATGATGGGGAACAAGAAGAGGAGTATGGTGGTGTTGTTAACCTTTCAAGTGAGTGTCAATAATGGTTCCTTTTTACAGAGTACTATAAAAGCTTTGTCTTCAGTTGCATAAAGACAAAGGTCCTACGATGAGCTTGTTGGTTCCAGGGTGGAAAGTTCTGGTTTTGAGACCTGGCATTGTGTTGTGTTCTTGGGCAAGACACTCTTATCTCACAGTTATCCATATGAGGGCTGACCCAACTTCACAGACACATTAACACTGGAGACATAGATGTAAACCTGAAAAAACACTGAATGAGAATGAGATCCCATTGAAATGACAGGACTTGCCTTCTCCTGCCTCAACCTTGTCTCCTTTTTTATTGCAGATCGTAATTTGAAGACAATTGGGCATCTTCCAAAAGGGGTCTCTCCTTACACTCTCCTTTTAAGTAACAATGCAATATCAAAGGTGGAAAATTTACAGTACTTCATCCACTTGCAACAGGTAAGGGACAGAAAGTTCAGTTAAAAGATGGAAGCTTCTCCTTCTTAAATAATTGCATACTAGAGTGGTTTAAAGAAAAAATTGTTTTACTTTCTCTTGTTTTAGTTATCTTTGGCTAATAACCACATTGTTGACATTAAAGGAGTCAGTGCAGCAACTGGTTTGAAAGTTCTTGACCTTAGTAACAACAGTATTGTCTCAATTGAAGGTATTCTCTCCCTTCTGCTTTACTACTGATTATTATCCTTTAAATATTGTTCACTTGCCTCTCTGGACATGGTTTGAAGCTGTGCACCTTTCTTTGGCAGGTACACCCTGCTAGCACTAATACCTTTGATCCTGCACGCTTTTATCTGACAATCATATGCAAATTTTATGATCAGCCAAATAGTTGTTTGAGATAGAGTGTTCATTCACCATTGACATTTGCACTCACAGAAAAAGTTGATGTGTGCTTTGAACTGTGTTGATGTACCAGTACTTTAGAATTTACATTTTATTGTCCATGTTTTGAAGGTATCAGTTGGTTAACAAATCTTGAATGGTTAAATCTTTCTGGGAACAACATTGAGGTAAACTGATGCAAATTTTCTGGTTCACATTTATAAACAGACAGATGGGTCCAATTTTTTGAAAGCTAACATTCAGGACTCTACATCTACATTAAATAATCCAGCATAGTGATATCTTTTCCTTGTTCTCTATCACTGGCAGAAAATCGAAAACCTTGATAGAAATACCAACCTGTATCACTTGGATTTGTCAGACAATAGGTAAGGTTGTACTCAAAATTAGATATTTTTATTCATAATTGAAGGTGAATTGAATTAATCTCATAATAAATTGTGAATAATTTCTGACCTCTAGAGAAGTAATTCTGACATTGATGTATAAATGATCATAACGATGATACAATCAGTATAAACAAATTGAATGTAATCACTAATTTTTTATGATGATATTGATATAAATTGTAAAATAATACAAACTTGTATTGAGTGATCAACTTTAATTATTATATGGCTACCATTATATATGCTGTGTTATTTCAGTATTGCTGTCATATCAGGATTGAAATCGCTCAGGAATTTAAAGGTATATGTGAATCCATGGGATGATTTCCAACTTAAATTATTAACTGCATTGCAGGTTTGTGACAGCATAGGGATTAGAATGTTTACCTTGTTTTTAATTTTTCTAACATACTTTCATTTGACACAGACTTTATTGCTGCATGGAAATCTGATATCTTCCCTGGAAGTCATTAAAGAAGAAGTAGCATGCACAGTCTGCACGCTTTCTCTGGCTGATAATGACATATCAGACCTTAATGAGGTACACTGCCTTGAATACATCAACATCCATATGCATACCAAAAACTAAAATCATCAGCAATATTGATGTCTTTCAGATGTTACATTTGTCATCTCTGATCAATTTGGAGCAGTTGTCACTTTTGAACAACCCTTGCATCTTGACTAATGGAAACTGGAGACTGTATCTTTTATTATTATAATGCAAAATGCTTACCAGATAACATTAATGTATCTTATACCATGGAATTTTTCTTTGCGAGGGGGCAGGGATTCAAACTTTGTTTCAGAAAGCATGGAACATTTTTACACTAGAGCCTAAAAAAGCTAAAAAAAATATTTCAATATATTCAGTAAATTTTTATACTTCAAGTTGAGTAGTAAGATGCAATCCTTCTCTGAAATAATTTTGGCTTCTGACAAGTAGAGAAAATACCCTCAGGTCTGATGGAGGAAGGTGTGGACCCCCTGATCCTCCCCTGGATCTACCACTGAAAATTCCCTTTCCCCCCCCTCCCCCCAACACACACATGAACCAAACATTGGTGATATTCATCAACTGTCAGACCCTTTGACCAATTTAACTTTCTGGTGAATTGAAGAGAAGAGGTTTACACAAGTGGCCATTTCTATTTTAATGCTGTTGACCCAGAAATATCTTAAATTATTCTCTTAACTTTGCCTCAGAGAAGTGAACTACAGGCCTTATCTGGTATATTGCTGTAGAAACCTTAGGAATCTGGATGGACATTTGGTGAACAATGATGAAAGGCAAGTTCATATAATTTTCTTGTATTTGTAAATTCAAGTGGAGTTTAGTGTTCAGTCTAGTACTGACTGCATGAATTACTGCTAACTTGATCTTATTTTCCAGCCCAACATGTCCTTCTCAACAGCCTTTTTGCGAGTAATGATTCTCAACTTAAATGGCATCAGCCAAGTTTATTGATCTATCAAGTGTTCCTATTTTCTTCTTTGTGTTCCTCCCTATCTTTCATTCTCTATCTGCCTGCAGCTCTGTTTCTTGTTTGAATGTACATTTATCTGTACTAAGTCTTGAAACTATCTCTAGGTCTGCCCATATTTTAATCTTGTCTGATTTGCCTGTCTCTTAGGGCTACAACTTCTCCTTTGACATTTGTTTGTTTGTCTATTCCTCCCTTGTGTACCATTTATTTCTTGCCCAAATAATTCCCCCATTCTCCCATTTATTACCCCTACATTTCTCTCTCTGTTATCCTGTTTGTTTTTGTGATCAATGCAGAATACTTGCGAGACTGCTGGATCAGGCATTCAGTCACATTGGCCATCCTTCCTCAGGAGAGCATTATGAACTTGTGTCCATTTTACATCATATTTGCTCAGAATCCCAGGAAGATACCCAGGTATTGTACTTATAGTTTTACTGCAGTTGATTTACAGAAATATTAGTGCTATCAGCTGCTATTGGAATCAAGACAATCTATGTGAACACTAGCTTCCTTTTTTCTGTTTTTTCTTACAGACAGCAGGAGCGCATATAGGGGAAGATGTGGGTAGGTGAACCATTTTGTTTGATTCTGAATGATTCATTACTTAGGGTGGAATTTTTGGTAAACAGTACAAGATTGTTTCTTGTTTTATTATTGTTATTATTGCAAATTTCATTGGTTTTTTTAAAAATATTCTTTTGTGTGTAATAAATACCATAATGTATGACTCTCTATTATGGGCACTGGGTATTTTGGACATTGCCAGGTATGACAAAGGCTTCCTCACACAATACCTTTATTTATCTGCACCTCTTGACATGTCTGTTATTTGATTATCGGTCATTAGATTTTATTCTTCCAGACAGCAACACTTTATTGGAATCAGAAAGTTTCTTCATTCCAGTTCCTATCTCTGATGAAGACCAAACAGAATCAGGTATGCTGTATCATTTGCAAAACCTTCCTATAAATTATCAAAAACCTTCATTTGAATAAGTAAAAGCTAATCAAGTCTATTTTCATCTTTGAAGATGATCCCATCATGACAGAAGAAGAAGCTCTGCGACTGTTTAGTTTGGCAGCCACAATAATTCAAGCTCATGTGCGTGGTTATCTGGTGAGGAAGAAGTTTGACTTCTGTCAGTACCGACAAAGGAAATATGCAGCAGCTTGCATTCAGGCAGCTTGGTAAGAAACCTGTATGAAGTTTCATCTTTCCTTGCCTACTCTCTCCCCAGCCTCTATGACTTGTCTTCATACCTTGACTCCATGTTATATTTTCTCCCTCCCCACCCTCAGTCTTCTCTTTTTTCCATCCCTACCTTTAGAGTCTCTCCAATTTTCTCCATACTCTCCCTCCCTCTCTTTCTTTAATTCCTCTTTCATTTTTTTCCCTTCTTACTCTGGCTCCCTTCATTTTTTTCTCTCTCCTTACCTTCACCCTCTCCCCTATTCCCTTTCCTAACCTCACTCCCTACAGTACCTTCTTTCCTACTACTTCCCTCACCTCACCCCCTCCATCCTCTCCTTTGTCCCTCCCTACCCTCAACAGCCTCCCTTCTTACCTCCCTTCCCTCACTCCCTCATCCATCTCTTCCTACCCTCACTCCCTCTCCCCTCCTTCCCTTCCCTCTGCTCCCTTCTTCTTTACTTCCCTCCATACCCCTCCTTCATTCCCCTCTTACCCTCATGCCTCCTTGTCTCCCAAACCCAAAACCCTCTCTGTCTTTCTTTCCTACTTCCATCTCTCTCCATTTCCCTCTTATCTTACTGCCCTTTTATCCTCTCTTTTTTCACTACTGCCATGATTAATAACATTGATTTTTCTTGTTATTAAAAATTATAGGAAGGGATATCGTGCTCGTACTAGAGACATCAAAATTGTCAACATAAGGAACGAATTAAGAGTGCGAAGGTTGATATCCATTATAAACCATTTATATGGTGCATTAGACAGGTAAGCATAAAAATATTTGTATGGACTTGCGTTATGTGCTTACCCGTAATTTTTCCAAGTAGTTCTCAAACTGGCTTTCCCAATAAGATTCTTCTTTCCTGCTTTCAAGGGAACACGAGGAAGCTGTCAAAAGTAGAGAACAGTTTAAGAAAGCGATAGAATATCTGTGGCTTCAGGTATCTACGTTGCATGTAACATAACAATTATGATCTCTGAATGGTCTTGTTTTGCCTCATCTGTTTACTGACAATGACAATTTAAAGCCTTGTATTATGATATCATGATGGTGACGACAATAATGATAATGATAATAGTAATAATAGCAATAGAAATAATTATATTAGTACTTATGGCAATAGTAAAAATGACAATAGTAATAATAGCAATAGTAATAATTATAATAGTAATGATGATGATATCACATTGTAAAGTTAAAAATACTTATCATGACAGACAATCCGGGTGTAAAGATTTTCTTTTGTTTCTTTTTTTAACTGTAGGTTTTGGAACAGTCCAAACTGAATGAGGTCCAGCTTCGCAGGGAACAAATGAAAGCAGCCATCAAAATTCAGACTTGGTGGTAAGATGGTAACCTCTAGATTATATTATTTCACTGCAATAAAAGCCTTAATTTTATCTGTTCACATGACTACGTTTGCACCAGTTTGAATGGAACCCGATGTCACCTGTACCTAGCTTGATACAAAAAAACAAAAACAAAAAAACAAAAATATAAGTGAGAACTTACTTTTGAGCACCAAGGACTATCCACAAAATCCACAAAACCTGCAAAAATTTCATTGTAACTCGCAAAATTTTTGTCCCACGATATGTTGTAAAATATGTCAATTTCGTTCTCAATTTCCTTGGTTTGATTTTTGTTCTGTTAATTTTAGGAGAGGATGTATGGCCAGAAAGGTAAATAAACATTTTTTCCATTAAGTTGCTTTATTATCCTACAACCTATTTGTAACTTACAATACATCACTAAGCTCGAAAAATTAACATATATTATATGTCATTGACTGACAAGAAGTATCGTTCACAGCCAGTCCTAAAAGCACTCGTAAAAACGCGGTCAAAACTCGTGCGAGAGAACAACCACGCTGTAGAGACACTCCGTATGACTCTCTCGCATTCGTATCCCCTCTCTTGCGTGTGCCGTCCTAAATTATCCGCACAGGGTTAATTTAAACGCCTGCTAGGGAAGTTTAATCGAAAAAAAAAACGTATGAAAAATGCTCAAGACCATCGACCAACAGTAAAAGTGTTTTTATTCCGTATGGTTTAGCTGTTTCCCGGCAAGAGAATGAACCAGGATCAAGTTGCAATGCTCTTTGCAATGTGTCGCCAGCTACAGACACAGGTGATGAACGCTTCTTTATGTCCTCGCTCAAAAACCTATTTTAGGTCTCTCTCTCCCTGATAATCTTGTTTCTTGAGATCATTTTAACATTAAGCAAAGAGTAGTCTCAATACTAATAAAGGATAAATTTTGAATCAAAATGTGCGGTTGTAGGGTAAAGGCGTTAACAGGTCAAGTTTGTGATGTATGTGACTCTCGTATTCTTTTCTTTGTTTTTAGTTGAATGTTGTCACATCCCAGATAAATGATCTCACTAAAGGTAACTTGATTTCAATGCTGTGTTGTTTAATGCCCGTTACTTTTGGCTGGAATGTCAATGTTCTACTGATTCGAGATATTGAAAAAAACTTATTGTCATTTGGTAAGTAGTGGACGCAATTACTGCTTTTTATGGAAAACCTGAAAATTTTGCAGAGTCTTTTGAGGATTCGGACTCTCGTTTCAAAATACATCCAGTTAATGTTAAGTTCGGGAGGGTGAAATTTTGAAAGCGTGATTTTGAAAATATGATTTTACCCAGAATTTATTTAGGGTTAAAACGCACAACGTTCTGTGACAGGATCAGAAAACTCACACCACCTTCTCAACCAATCAGATGCAAAACCAAAACCAATCGCGTCTTGGTCACCTGCGTTTTCCCGCGCTAAACGCGGTTTATGGTGGTCTGTACTCTGATTGGACGTTACTGTTACTTTGGGTATTGGTGTTGACGACAGAATTAAAGGCGCTGGAACAATAAAAAGTTTGCAAAGCTTGAAGCTTTTTATCTACACCTGCCATATTGGTTCTCAACAATCGCTGACTATTCATTGCAGGTAAAATCCAAGACAACGAACCTCAACACGAAGCTGAAAAGACGGATTCAGAAGGACAGGATCAGTTCTACGACACATTCGACACATCAAAGGAGAGCGTAGAAACAAAGTTCGCCGAGGATCCTACGTTATCGCCTCCTGTTCAGCATTCCGATGCTACCTCAGGCCCGTCCCCTGAACGCTCGCTAGTTGAGGAACGAGACGAAAAAGGAGAGCTGAAAAATTGTGATGAAAATATTCCCGTGTCAGGTGAACTAGAGTCTGGAGGCAAATTATTGTTCACAGACGATTCGGTTCTATCAGATCTTGAATTAAACAAAGAAGCTCCACTTGCAGGCAGAATGGATCAGGACGCTTTCCGATTAGCTCTTACAAAGTGTGATCAAAAGGACTCCGGACTGAATATCGCGAATTCATCGAATAGTTTTGAAGGGGAAACCAGATTGTCATCAGCCGCACCGGGAATGGAGGAGAAACAATTGTCCCTTCCTGAAACGAAACATAGCGAGAACGATACTGAGGAAGCACCCCAAGGACCTTTAGATCTTGAAACGGAGAGAAATAATGATGTTGCACGCGGTGTAGGAGAACTTTTCGAGGAAAGGAGATCTCCTTCCTCCCTTGACCAAAATGAGCCTCTTTCTGAGAAAGTCACCTCGAAACCTCACGTTGAAACAGGTCAAGTGATGGAGAATACGGCTCCACGTGTTCTTTGCTCGCTTGTGGATTCTCAAGAATCTGATTCAACAGAAAAGGACCTGAACTGGGGAGCATCTGAAGGAAAGAGTTTACAAGCCAGCATACCGGAAATAATTGTTAGTAGTCCAATTCCAACTGATGATGAAGATAGTGACGAGGGGGACACAAGCAATGTCCAGAAGGAAGTTCACAGGAACCAAAACGAGAGGAAAGGCACAGCTGAAAACTATTCTTACACCGATTTAGCCTGGAAGTTCTCGAGCTCGTTCCATGTGAAGAATTTAGATCAGAAACTTTCCGGAGGTGATGCAGGTAGTGATAAAACTAGAGACGACACATCCTTCAAGAAGGAGAGAGATATGCATGAAGAACTCCATAAAAATGAGGTGAAGTCTTTAAGAGGAGCAGAAGGTAGTTTGCCTTTGGCAAAGTCTAATCGCGGAAAACCGGGTGATGATGAAGAAGATGCCATCGTTACAAGCAGCTCCGTGTTCCATGAGAGCGTTTCAAGCTTGGGTGAAAGAGCCACAACCTTACTGTCCCAGCTCAGATCAGAAATCGCCAATATGAAGACAGCTCGGCTGGGCGGTGCCTCTTCAGTCATAACGTCGGGAGACGATGGTGCTACTATTGTGGTTGAAAGCACAGTGCATGCAAACCTTGATCCCGAGAATGTAAACAAAAGTTCAGGTGAGCTTGCAACACAAGAGAGCAGCACTGCAAGCGAAATAAATGACATTTCTAAGCCAGAACATGCACCTGCCGTGACGTATCGTTTGCCGTTGTTTGAAGACGTCGACAGTACATGTACATCTCTTTCTCTTGACGACTTTCTGTCAGACCCCGTCCTTGAAAACGTTGTTAAAGACCCCGTATGTGACACTGTATGTGAACTTAAAGAGACAGATGATTAACGCTGCGATGTATCGCGCTCTTTTACTTTTGATCTCCTATTTTTGGAAAGAAGTATGGTTCTTCTGAGAAAACTTGTAGGTGTTAAAATGAATGAGATGAGGTTAGAAATGCGAACAGGCATAGCTCTTCAAATTCACGTTGAGATATATAAATTTTTTATATACATATATATATACATATTTCGTTATCCTCCGTCAGGTTGAACAAACCACCGAAGGATTTATGTCTGTCCCTTAGAAGCTTAACAAGCTTCTTTGAGTTTTGAGAAAGCAAAGTGATTGCGAGATCAGCTCGTGAGAGACACCAAAAGTTCAAGCGTAAATTAAGTATATTTTTCATCTTAGATGGACTGAAAATTCGAAATTTGATGATAACTCTACATGAATCTAAATAAAATTTTAACATTAAACTTGGGAGTGCTTAATCAGGGGTCACTGTAACGTTGACTGCACTAATGGCACTTCAGTGCGTCACGGCAATTCCAATATTGCGCGCACACCCCAGGAGGGGCTGAGAAGGCACTCGTTCGATGTTCGAGTGTAAGCGTGTCTCTGATCCCTCTCCGCATAAGAAGAAAAGTGTTTAATTCGACCATAAGAAGCCACGTCTGATTTACCGTGTTTAATCAAAACTATAACAAGATTCTCGAACGTGATTGGTCATCACCTGCCCGATTTAAGCATTAATAATATACATGATTTACGTGCTTCTGATTGGCTGAAAACGAGTGCTTTTTTCATGCAACACGAGTGCAAATTACAAATAGCGCGCGCTGCAAACATTTCGTCCGTCTTGACTTTCAGTGACGCGTTTTTCATGTCAATTATTAACAAGTAACAGCATGATTTCGATTGCAATTTGGAGTTAATAAGCACGAATAAATTTTTCAAAGACTATAAAATTGCACGAGCCTGTAGAGCGATTGCAATTTGTGGTCTTTGAAAATCTTTCAAGTGCATATTAGCCCCAAATTGCATTCGAAATCATGTTACCTTTACTGATAGGGGCAGTGCATGTGTCATGCTTTTAATTGAATAGTGTAAGAGGACAGTTAAAGGGACAGTTAACACGTCATTGCTGTGTAAGTGGACAGAACGCATCATATGCGCGCGTATTGTTGCACATTCCACTGAGTTAACTGGAGTTTTTTTATGAAAACGTATAACCTGTCTAGTTTCTTTCTCGAATTTTGTGATAGTTTTTATTAATTGGTAACAGGACTTCGAGTCGTCCAATTCTGTCTGTAATCATACGAGTGATACACAAAATTGTACAGCTGCAAAGCAGGAGTGTGATTTGTTTATCACGAGTTGGACTGGATTGGACTCTACTTGGTCCTATTACCATTATTAGTATAGGTAATCACATGATTTCTAGCGCATTTTGAAATAAATAAGCACAAGTAAATTTTTTCGAAGACTAACAAAATTGCACGAGCCTGTAGGGCAAGTGCAATTTGTGGTCTTTGAAAATATTGACAAGTGCGTATTTATTCCAAATTGAACAAGAAATCATGTGATTACATATTAATAATATACATGAAAAAATACAAGGTAGCTCATCATAATTATGCAGAAGC